TTGGTGACGAGCTATAGTACCAGATTAGAGAATTTCGGAGGGTAGAGGGCGGGTGAGGGGGGAGTCGCGCCGACACCGCTGTTTCACTCAACACGACGCTGTTCTGTGCTAGAGGTTACCGCAGCCCGAGGAACTACTACACCAACGCAACTGCACTGGCGAACGAGGACGAGTTATACTTCGCAAAAAGACTTCTTTTGATGGTGTGGTTTTTTTTTCAAAAAAAGGGTGTTCGAGCAAATTCGAGTGACTGGATCACTCCATTTTCTCGAAGGATCAGCTCGTCAAGAGAGGTAACTCACATAGAGCACATGGGACTTTCTACGACGTTGCGGACGACGGTAGGGCTTCCAGCCACTGCATATAGGTCGTTGCCATGTGGGCGTTTTCAGGAGAAACAGAGCCAGGAATGGATCAGTCACGCATTTCTGGCGCACCTATCTGGCATATTTAAGAGACGAAAGTGAAACACCCTCTGCGACTGTGAACCAGATTCCACCTGCCCGGTACGCGAACGGTATATTCAAGGAGAAATGGTATAAAGTTTGATAAAGGCTCAGTTTCATATAACATAAAGAGAAAACTTTGAAGTGCTACAAGCGAAAGCTAAACTTGGCATAATACTCAATGTGAAATAAAGGTTATCACCTTGATCAATCCGGTACAAAAGAGATCGAAAACACCGACAAAACGAGACAAGAAAAAAATAAGGGATAAGGAAACTGTAATATGGATGAAATCTTAAGAGCAATAAATGAAAGCAGCAAAACCACGAATCTACCAATCATCATTCTCATTATTTGCCGATCCAGCACCTCGTATAATCTTCATTCTTTGTGGTTCCGTCTTAATTTTGTCAACCTTTATTATCCCGGTTCCTGCCAAGCGAGCCTCCAACACCTGAAATTTCTGAATGGCTTTTCGCGGTCTCAGCCAAACCACTGGGAAATACTGAATTACAAATTCAAGAAATTGTGCAGTATACAGTACCCTAAACTGCGCGTGAAACCGAATGCGGATGAGCAGCGAGGACCCACAAATCCATTCAGTCTCCGACTAGGTAGCCCCTGACCAGAAAACGCAACCCAGAAGCTTCTTCCCATTGCCTTTTTCCAACAAACGAATCTCGCTGCGAGGGTCCAGGGTTATTTTCACGAGGCATCTACCAGTCCAGTAGTTGAAGGGAGAAGGTAAAGGAGGAGGGATCAGAGAAGGAAGGAAGGAAAGAGAAGGAGGAGGCTTCTCGGTTGACAAGT